TTTTTTGGTTTTTCTCTGGTACCGGGAACCGAACTCACGACCTTGCGCTTGCCAGGCAGGCGCTTTGCCGCTGAGCTAAATCCCCAGCCCCTGGGCTCCTTGTTTCTTCCCTCTGAGGAATGGTCCAGTCTGGCTGTCAGGCTCACTTGGTGTCATTATCTGACCCTCAGCTCTGTGAGAGCAAAGCCAATGTCACCTATTCACGGTGTACGTCCTATGAATGCACAGGGTCTCTCCCTTCTTTGGGGCTCAGGAAACAGTTGTTCGTTTTGTTTGTTTAGTTTTTTGAGACAGGAGCTCACTATGCAGTCCAGGTTGACCTCGAACTTACTACATAGCCCAGGCTGACCTTGAACTCATGATGATCCTCCTGCCTCAGCCTCCCGAGTGCTGGGATTACAGGCGTGCACCACCATGCCGGGCTAGGAAACATTCACTGTTGTCAAACATTAACCTTACCGAGGAAGCCTAGATTAGCTGACCCTGCTTCGTGATTCCCAGACTCCAGGCATCACCAATAACTTGCTAGCAGTCAACCCAACAGATTCCTTGAAACCTACCCAACTTCCGGCCACCACTGGGCCTCCTCTCCAACCCCATCTTTGGCCGACTGAGCACCCTGTCTGCTCCAGTTATTCCCCCAACCTGGCACCTCCTGCCCGAAGTCAGCTTTTCAGGTTCTTCCTTGCAGCCCAGGACTACAGACTTGCGTCTGGGTTGTATGTCACTGTGCAGCTGCCCCTCCACACGCAGAGGCAGAGGCCAGGGTGACCCCTTCCACGGTGCCTCACGACCAAAGATATCAACGAGCACAGTGTGCTGCGGTGGGAGTGGGGGGTGGAACGTCCTGGAACAGGGAGGGGAGGGGAGGCGATGATAATGTGCTTCCCGGCTTCAACGCAGGGAGAGTCCAGTTGGACGGAATTCCGAAAAATACTGGAAACTCTAGGCTGAAAGACACAGGTTGATGTTATAGGATAAACTGAGGCCGGAAAGGGATTGTTACTTTCTCTCAAGTTGCATTTTATTTGCGCTCCTTGGTGAGTTTGTGCTGCTTGTGTGTTAATCTGCACCCACAGTTTGGAAAGCTTTTGGGGCAAGAACGATTTCTCCCATCCACAGTGAGCAGGGAGGCGTGGCAGAAGCAGGAGAAACAAGGCGAGAGGCTGATCTAGGTAGAGGACAAGTTCATTTTTAAATTTTTTAATTACTTGCTTTTTTTTTATTAGCCCAGGTCTGCAGTACGTGATGACTACACTTGCTGGGGGAGCTGGTACATGCACAGAGTACATCTGAATTCTTCTTTTTTTATTTCCTCCCCTACTTCCCTGCTCCCTCCAACTCTTGGTCCTCTTCCCGTTTTCATCATTTGCAAAGGGAATGGAAAACAAAAGAGAGAGAATTGAAGGCACAGGTTTTCATACAGGCCGCACGCCTCATCCTTATCGAGAAGTAGCAGCAAATTATAACTAAGCCTCAATTAATCATACCCTTTCCTCTTCGAGGAACTAATTTACCACACCCCAAAGGACACAGCCAGCACTCCTTGTGTGTGAGTTCTGCCTCTTGCCATTGCTCCCTGAAGAACACGGCAAACCAGCTCTCACACGGCAAGTGCATTGTATTATGTCCTGGACCGTCCAGCAGTTCAAAGTGTAACAGGAGGAAGAGTGCGGGTTCTACGCAAATACCACACAATTTTGGGTAAGGCGATTGAGCCGCTGTGGCTTTTGGTATCTAATTCCCCTATGGTACCACGGGATGACTGTACGTAGGGGGATGGTTTTGTTTGTTCTGTTGATTTTTTTTTTTTTGGTACCAGGAATCGAACTCATGACCTCAGGCTTGCCAGGCAAGCACTTATGCCACTGAGTTATATCCCCTGCCCTTGTTTTGTTTTTTTTTGAGACAGGGTCTCACTCTATAGTTCAGGCTGGCCTGGACCTCCCTAAGTAGCCCAGGCATTTCTCGAACTCTTGGCGATCTTCTTGCCTCAGCCTCTCCTGTGCTGGGACTACAGGCGTGCAGCACCACGCTGCTGTAGGCAAATTTGAAACAATGACAAGTTCGGTTGCCTAGGTTTGCTAGAATTCCATATTCCATATAAGCTCAGATGAAATATGTCTTGCCAGATCATTTAGCTGCCCCTGAGTAGCACAGTCTAAGAAAGCTGAGTCTAAGAATCCCTGTCTAAGCCCCACGTTTACTACCGCATGGAGGTGATAATGATGCGAGGTCAAGGGCAGAGCCGGGAGGGGAGGCCAGACGGGGAAGGCGCAGGTTCATGGCGGAGGCTGCAGCAGGAGGCCCCCTCTCCTGTGACTCACTAAGAGTCAAGCACAGCTCTTGACCAGTACTGTAGGCGCTGAGATCCGGTATTTGCTTTAGACCGTGGGAGCAAAGCCTGACAAGGAAAATACTCCAGAACAGCTGGGAAACAAATTCCCTTCTGGCCTGCACAGAAAGGGCTCCTGCCAAGTCCTTTCCCATCCTCGGGACAGGGGCGTCTAGAAGGCCAGTGAGCTCCTCTGTCCTTCAGGATGTCCCCCTTGCCTCCCCCGGCCTCACTGGTCCCCTGCACACCCGCTAGAAATGATGCTAAATGTTGGCTCTTTTTTTTTTTTAATAACACGAAACTAGACAAAAATATCCAACTGGACAAGCAACGGAAACACGTCATTTTAGTGGATTTTTCTTTTATCTTTTGAATCCCATGTATTCTAAGATTCGCGATACAGATTAAATCAGCATTAGCTGGTGTGGCGCCACAGTTTTACCTGGAGTCACCAAGAACCCCTGAGTCGAGAGATCAAACACTACTCCACTGAGAAAGAATTCTGTAAGCCTAAAACAAGGCAAATCGATACTCAGACTGATACCCCCTTGATTGCAAGATCTCTTTTAGCTGCTACTGAGAAACACAATTTAAGAAAGATAAATTCCAGCCCCAGCCTTATGTGAGCAGGACGGACCGGCCCTGCAATGTAGACATGAGTCTGAGGTTCTGCAGTTCATCATTCAGCGCTTAGTTAGGAGCAGTGGTTCCAGCTAGGCTCGACTGGGAGAGCCTTAGACTGAAGATGTCATGACTTCAACCAGGTAATATTTCTCAGTAGCTTTTTAAAAAAAGTTTATCCACTGTCTTCATGTAAGTGTCCAGCAACGTATCTAACTTTTTCAGCATCAATTTTTGTAGCATTGCGATGGGTTGTGTCTAGATGCCCCCGCCTGCCCCGACAGCCACATGTGGTCATAGGATTTTTTGGAGGTGGCTGAATCTAGCGTGTGTGATTGATTCATAGTGCAATGCTGGGATTAAGGGTGGGTGATTGCTTGATTAGTCTGATGATTGGTTTGGCACACCCCTCATCCCGGCAGCCTAGACAGAGTATAAAAGGGGCAAAGATGCTGTTAAAGTCGGTTGCTGCTTTTGTTGCCTTCTGCCCACCATGAACTGTTTCCCCTCTGCCATGCCACCCTGCCCTGGAGCCTGCTATCAACTGAAATCTCTACAAACTGTGAGCTAAATGAACATTTCTTCCTTTAACTTTGGGGGTTGGGTATTTTGTCTCAGCAATGAGAAAAGTAACTAAGACAAGCATATGTTTGCCTTTTAGTCTCAGCAATGGTTTTCTTTTTTATGGTGGTGCTGGAATTGAACCCAGGTTCTCATTCACGCTGGTGAGAGCTCACCACTGATCCACAGCCCCAGCCTCAACAGTACTTTTGTCCAGGCTGGCTCAGCAACATGTGCCATAGTTTCAACCTGGTAACCTACTTTAGGGATTGCTATGCAAAGAACATTATTCTAGAATTGTTTATCTGGTTGCTTCTGTTCATAGAACTCTGCTGAGAAGACGAGAGAAGAAAAATAATTTTTTTGGTACTAGGACCTCATACTTGCCAGGCAGGTGCTATGCTGCTGAGCTATATCCCTGGCCCTAAAAAAAATTTGAATCACTGAAATGAAAGCAGCAAAACTAATGTGCTATCACTACTTGGAGAGCTCAATGCAGAGACAATAACCAATAATTACCTAGGAGAGAAATAAAAGTTTTAATAAAAAATCACTCTAAAAACCTATTTACAATATACTGCAAGCCCACACAGTGGCAAAATTTGTAATACATTCAAGAAACCTTGGCCTGGTGTGGTGGTGCAGGGCAGGCATGGTGGCACATGTCTGTAATCCCAGCACTTGGAAGGCTGAGGCAGGAGGCTCAATGAGATTTTGAGGCCAGTGTGGGCTACAAAGTGAGTTCAAGGCCAGTTTGAACTGCATAATTAACCCTATCTCTTTTTGGGGGGGTACTGGGAATCAAACCCAGGACCTTGCACTTGCCAGGCAGGTGCATGTGCCACGGAGGTATATCCCCAGCCCAACTCTATCTCAAAAAGACACAAAAAAAAAAAAAAAAAAAGGAAGAAACCTTGAGCGTCTATTACTGTACTATAAAATGTTTTATTGTACTATACTATACTGTACTAACTGTACAGTTGTAGTCAGGGTTTGCAAGGGGAACAATTTAACAGGGGACACATAATTTATAGGATTATTTCATAATAGTCATCCAAAAAGTCAAGTTCAAAAGAGTGCAGGAAATCTGTCCACCCACTAAAGACCCAAAGAATCCAGCTGAGAGCCTGGATCCCACAGTAATGTCCTGCAACTATACTGTGCTGCGGTATACTATACTATACTGTAAAATACTATTCTATTCTGTACTACAAAAGCCACTTCAGGCACTCAGCACAGGAGCTGTGGGGGCTGGGAGTGAGCATGGCATGGAGGTTAGGGGAGCAATGTGTCTGCACATGTGCACAGGTTTGTCAGGTTGTACAGGTGTTAGGGTTTGTGTCTGGGTGTCCCTGCAAAGCCTCATGCAGTCATGGGGCAGGCTCTTAGAGTGTATGATTGATCCATGATCCAATGCTGGGATTATGGGTATGAGTGCTTCATCCACCCTAATGCGGATAGTTTGCATATGTAAGGGAGAGAAAGAGGATCTTTACCACCATTCCTCCCTTTTGCTCTTGTTTTTAGCTATGTCGTGCCACCATGAACGCTTGCCCTCTGCTATGTGCCACTCTGCCTTGGAACAAGCCTAGTATGGACCGAAACCTCCACAAACTGTAAGCTAAATAAACTTTTCCTTCTTTAATTTTGGGTGCCAGGTATTTTGTCCCAGCAATGAGAGAAAAGTAACTGAGACAGAATTTGGTACCAGGAGTGGGGTTATTGTTATGATGTTGCCTGGCCATGTGACTTAAGAACCTTTGGAATTAATTTGCAAATGTTTTGAGAGACTGGCCAAAGAGGCAGCCCTTGTATGCTGCAAACCATATTGGAAGCTCTGATTGGAGCCTAGAAGATCAGAGTACTCATGGAAATGCTACCAGTTGAGATGAAGCTCAGGAGGCTTCCATAGAGGACTTCATTGGCTGCTGGATCCCAGGTAGTATATTGTGTTTGGCAGAAGTGGGTCTGCATTTTGCTTGTGTTTAGAGATATTGCCTGGTTGTTTTCTTTTTTCTTTTTTGTGGTACTGGGGATTGAACTCAGGGCCTTGTGCATACTAGGCAAGCACTCTACCACTGAGCTACATTCCCAGCCCAATATTGCCTGGTTGGAGAAAAAAAAACTCAATGTAGTCTATTGTTGGGATGGTAGCGTGGTTACTGTTGAGAGCTTTTGGCCAGATCTATGTTTGAAATTAAGCACAAAAAGCCAGCAGAATGTTAAGAAATATTTGGCCAGAGGGGTGGTGCTAATGGAGCTTTGGGTTGCAAGGATAAAGTACAGGAAAATATGATTGCTAAGAACAGGACAATGAAAAAATGAACTGAAGCCTTTCACCTGAAGATGAGTGTATTCGAATTGCAGGAGATCCCTATTTTTTAGTCTTGCTATGCATTGTAAAACTTAACGGGAAGTAAGGACTGTGATTATAATAGTTCTTTTAGTGTTTTTATGTTGTTTTTAGATATATGTTTGTAATCAGGTTAATTCATCAAAGTATTGTGTTTTAACCTTGAATTTTGGTCACCCTGTTTTTGCTTCAGGAATGAGTGCAAAAACAGTTGTATATATGTAACTGTTATATTAATGTAAATATGAATAGACTAAGACATGTTAACTTTTTACAAATCTGCCACTAGAGATCATGGATTAAGGAAATGTGTACGGTTATCAAGTTCACCAGGGGTGGATTGTAGTGGATTGATAACTGGTGGTCAACTTAACTCCCAGCTGAACTGAGTAAGTGTGGTGCTGGGTGTGGGAGGTACCTGGGGATTGTTCCAGCAGCATAAGAGGCAGACCTGGAGAAGGAGAAGGAGGCTGTTGGGAGCTAAGAGGCTGCTGGGAGCAAAGAAAGGCTGTTGGAAACTGGTAGAAGCTGTAAGGAGCTGTTGGTTGTTTTGGAAGAGCTCATCATGCTGGCTTTCCTGATGAAGTTGGCTGTTTTCATCCTCCAAGGAGCTCAGGGCCTTGTTGGCACTGAGAGTAGCTTCAGTTCACTTTGGAGGAGCTCTGGTCCTCACCTTAAGCTTGCTTCCTGGCTCCAGAGGGGTAAATGATGCCCTGCCGGCCTCCTGAAGAAGCTTGTTGTGTTGGCTTCTCTGATGGGAACTTGGCCATCTTGATCATCGGAGGAGCTCGGGATCTCACTGTTGCTGAGGATGGCTGTGGTACCTTTTGGGGGAGCTCTGGGCCTTCTGAGCATCACTTCCTGGCTCCAGTGCAGATCCTTCATCCCGCTGGCACAGATCCTTCATCCCGCTGGCACAGACTTCCTAGATTCCACCACTGACCTTTAGGCCTTCGCAGCACAGATCCGTGAAACAGGCCTGCATGAGATGTTGTCATGGGCTTTGGGCCTCCAGTTGGATTTGTAGGCAGCATTGTTACGAGCTCTAGGTATTCTGCTGGACTCATGCAGGACATTTCCGTGGGATCCAGTCCCCAGCTGGATTCCTTGGTCTTAGTGTGTGGACAGATTTCTTGCACTCTTTTGTATATTGTTCTTTGAGTGACTATTATAAATAATCATATAAACTATGTGTCCTGTATTATATTGTTCTCCCCTGCAAAAATATCCTCCAAACCATAACAACAGGAGTATAAATGTGCCTTGGGTGCTCTCAGAGCCCAGTGCAAGATGAGGGTGAGGGGGCACAGGCTGGAGGCAGATGGCAGAGCGAGTGGACAGAGCCCTGACCCTGGGCTGAAGAGGCCCAGCCTCCAAAGTGAGGGCCCACAGCTGTGGCCACGGAGGGGGATGACGTGGCTGAGGCCTGCAGGGACCCCCAGGGTTGGATCCCACTATAATGTCCTACATGAGTCTGGCTGAAGACCTGGAGCCCATAACAGTTTCTCCCATGAGTCCAGCTGGAGGCCCAGAGCCCATGACAGTGTCTCATGCAGGCCTGTTTCACGGATCTGTGCTGGGAAGGCCCAAAGGTCAGTGGATCAGTTCAGCTGGGTGTTACAAGTTAACCACCAGTTGTCCATCCACCACAAGGTACTCAATCTGCATTCACTGGTGAGTGATGAGTGTATTTTGGGCTACACTGTGACCCAGGATCTTAGTAAATAATGTGTATTTAATGCAGTTTTACTTCAGTGTAAACTGAAGGAGAGTAACAGTTTAGTCTTTTTTTTCCTCAAAAGGCTTACCACAAAACTAAATTTTGGGGGCTGGGGATATAGCTCAGTGGCATATGCACCTGCCTGGCAAGCACAAGGTCCTGAGTTCGATTCCTGGTACCAAAAAAAAAAAACCCCAAAAAACCAAGTTTTTATATGATGAGGCAAACATCAGATATAGACAACTTAATTGGTTCTAGAATGAGCTCTTTTTTTTTTTAGCCAGGTCTCACTAAGTAATCCAAGCTGGACTTGAATTTATTATATAGCTTCCCAACTTGTGGTGATGCTCCTGCCTCAGCTGTCCAAGTGCTGGGTTCCAGGCGTGCATGTGTTTTTCTTTTTTGCAGTACTGGTGGTCAAATTCAGGAACAGTGTTAGGCATGCACATTAACTCAAACACATCCCCAGGCCCTAGCCCAGACTCTCAGTGAAATCATCTTCTCAGGGGAATGGGATTGGCCACGCACTGGGACACGTGGCCTGATGTTGAATTCGATCTGAAAGGACGACTTTAATGTCCATCCCTCAGAGGTCAGCCCCGTATTTCTTTACTACATGTATAGATGGAAGCAAAATGCCCTCTTGTGTGACACACGGCTGCCTGGTGGTGAGTATAACCGCCTCGTTAGAATGGAAACTGGAGGGGGACAACGGGGCTGTGGTGCTCATGCCTGTGTCCCCAGCCCCCAGAAAGAACCTGGATGACAAACAGAATGAACAGAACTTCAAAAGAGTGAGTGTTGGGACCCAGGCTAGGTGGCAGTACCTCCTCCTCTCCGAAGCGCGGCACTGTGTGCCGCGGATCTAGGGTACGAAAGACTTTCCACCCAGGAAGACATCTCAAGGACATTTGGTGAGGAGAAGCCACCACCAGGCGGTGGCATTTAGCTGAGACCTCCACAACAACGTGGTCAGCCAGGCAGAGGGACCGGGATATTCCAGGCAGAAGCAAGCGCAAGGGTGAGGTGTGGGGCTGAAGGAACCCAACGCCAGCTCCTGAGAAGAACTGCAAGAAGTTTGATATGGCTGGGCACTGGCACGGGGACAGCTAGGGGACAGAAGGAGAGCCCCAGGGGACAAGAGAAGCAAACCCGGCAATCAGCAGACCCAGGCTTGGTTTATTAGAAAAGTCACAAGCGAACTTCGGGGCACGCGTGGTATGGTCATATTTGCACTGATTTAAAGCATTTTTGCTCTATAGCATGAGAAGTACGTTGGAGGTAGGCGAGATAAGTGTGCAGGGAGGATCAGCCAGCAGCCAGAGCTCATGGGGACCCCGTGGACGAGGCTCAGGGCAGCAGGAAGTGTATCCTGGGAGTGTGGTGTGTGTGTGTTCATCTACCACGGGTTCCTACCTCTTGTATTTTTTTTCTTCAAACTTGTATGATGAAGCCATCTAACAACCTGACCAAGAAGAAGCCAGAAGAGCCGGGGAGGGGATGATGGCGATCCGGGGTAGAGCAATGAGTAGTGCGCAGAAGGCCAGCTAAAATAAAATAATTCATAGAATAGAGTGAGTCTTTGGTCATCTGTAATATTATTGCGTGCATGTGTGTGTGTGCCCGTGCGTGTGCATGAGCGTGTGTGTGTGTATGTATGTGGTGCATATGAGCAAAGGTAAAAATGGCTCACTCTTTTCTCTGAATTATGTTAGAAGCATTACAAAGTATTATAATGTTATTCATTTTGCAGGAATAGGAGAGAGAAAATATCTTAGAGGGTTTGACAAATTAAATGTGCAACTAGAAAGTAAAAAATGGCTTCGGCCGGGGATACAGCTCAGGAGCACGGCACCTGCCTAGTAAGCGTGAGGTCGAGAGTTTGATTCCCAGTACCAAAAAAATGGAAGCAAGTAAAAATGGCTTAATGTTGAAAAAGATAAAGCCTATAAATATATTTTTTTTATGTTTTATATGTAACGAGAGGGAAAAGAGAGGCGAAGTAACTTCCCCAAAGTAACGTCACTAAGAAGTTGTAATGCTTAGGGCTAAAACCTAGTCCTTGGGGCTGGGGATTTAGCTCAGCGGCAAAGCGCCTGCCTGGCAAGCGCAAGGTCGTGAGTTCGGTTCCCAGTACCGGAAAAAAAAAAAAAAAAAAACAAATAAATAAATAAAACCTAGTCCTTTGAACACCACGCCTGCTGGCGGCTTGTTGGTTTCCAGCCACCAAGTTTGCCACATGGCATTCAGAGTCCAGCAGAATCCTCTGAGATACGGTTCTCTCAGGATTTTATTTGTGGAAAGAAAGCTCTTCCTTGTTTAAGCGCCTAATAGAGGTAGAGTGTGGGCAAGATCAGGTCCTGACCCCAAAGCTTACAGTCTTATAAACAGCACCTGCACTGCTAAAGGCAAGAGGGTAGGACATATTTGGGGTGCATCTAAAGAGAAGGGCCCTAGCATGGCACCGGACGACAGTGCAGGAAAACGTGCTCAAAGAGCGGTCTGGAATTACCCCAGCTCCACCGACAGGTTCCCAATGCGCAGTCCCTTTCCCTCCCATCTGCTATATTTTCTTCCCAAAACGATCCCTCCGTGTTCCTTTCCTAGAGGGGTGTGAGCACGGGTCTGATTCTCACCACCGACCTACGGAGACAGGACACGCAGGCATTCTTACTCCATTCTACAAGTGAAGAAAGTGGGACTCAAGATGATAAACAAGGGGCTGGGGATTTAGCTCAGCGGCACAGCGCCTGCCTGGCAAGTGCAAGGTCGTGAGTTCAATTCCTGGTACCGGTAAAAAAAAACAAAAAAACAAACAAACAAAAAAAAAGATGATAAACGACACTGCATTTTCACAAGACTCACTCCACACCACCAAGCCTAGACTCTGGGCTTCTAGACCTCTCTGTTACTCCTTCCACGAAATCAAAGATTTCTTACTTCATTTACAGTCCAGGCTGACCAAGCTCACCCCTCTTTCCTTCCTGCCGAGTTCCTTCTCTTATCTACTTTCTTCCTCGTCTATGCTGGTGCAGAATGGAGGGCTTGAGGGAGGTCAGGACAGCCGCCCCACACATATTTCCTTGGCAGATTTCAGGTTGGTTGTTCAGAGAAACTGCAGACCTCTGCACACACGGGAGGACTCTGAGACGCTCTCCTGTGGAAAAGGAGACGTACCCCTGTCTACGTGAGCGGAACAAGTGTGGCTATAGAGAGAGGCCTTTTGAGATCTGTACATGGAAAGAAGAGATGGAGTCTGACACCTGGACCAGACATGCTCACCCCCAGTGGCTTTACCTGGGAGACTTTATGTGTGTCACAAGACAGCACAGGCTGGCTGCACAACCCCTCCCCAGCTTGCCCCAGCCTGTGCCACCTCCCCGCCCCATCAAGCCCAAGCTTGGGTCGCCTGGCTGTCCTCTTACTGGGTGACACTCTATCCTCACTTTATTCAGAGGCTCAGTGACTGACTAGCACGGGGAAGGGGGCGGGGAAGTTCCATTGTCCCCTACCCCCATGACCTGTCTAATGAGGATGCATGCAAATCTACAATTTGAGGACAGAGTAATACACAATTGAATGAAAGTCCGTCCACTTACACTACATAAGCTCCTAATCAATTCAGTTCAAAGTCAACCCACACGGGGCACATCATATAGCTTGGGAATTTTCCAAAGGGAATTTTGTTTATAATTTTGAAAGGAAGGGAGGGGTAGAAAATAATAGGAGTGAACAGTGCGGTCTGCCCCTTTTTTATCTGTCCAGGAACAAAATGTACTCCTAAATAGCAGGAGCACATGCTGTTTTTATTTAACCAATTAGTCACAGGTTAGATGAAGCAACCTTTAAAAAAAAAAGTTACTGCAAGGAGGATTTCACACTCTGAAGTTCATCACCGGAGAATGTCAGAGGGGAGAACTTCTGAAAGCAAATCAGCAACTTCACAACCCTTTACTTAATCGCCTGCACAGTTAATGTGAAAGGAAAAAGACAGCTATGTTAAGAAAGAAGGGGATGTTTCCAAGCGTCCTCTAGGACAGGCAGGTCCGTGTGGCGTCAGCGATGGTGGCTGTAATTACACAAGGTAATGTAATCACGAGGAGTGGGGGTGCTGCTGCCTTGGATTTGCGGGGAAAATCTCTGCTCAAGGTTCTGCAGAGGCCCCTGCCTCCGGCTCTGATGCTGGAGAGGTCTAGAATTCATTTTCTGCCTCTGAGCCTGCAGCCAGATCTAAAGTGCTCTTCCTCTTGAACAAAGGAGTCCAGTCTAACCTGAAATACCAGATCTCCTAATGAGCCCTTGGCCCCAGTCTTCCTGCCCCTGAGTTTAACTCCTTCTTTCCTGCAGCTCCTTAGGGGGAAACCTTCGGCACCAGGAACGTGTTTTGAATTTAAACAGCATCTATCTTTGATGAGAGTCTTCGTGTCCATTTTTTAGAAATTAGTGTGCACAATATCCCTTTGCACATGCACGGTCACTGTGGGGTACTAGAAAAGAAAACTGTGTGAAGTCACATAACACAACCGATCACTACAAGGAGATGTATTCATCTCCCTGATTCGTACAGATGTCCAGGTAAAAAGGAAAATTAAATTAATGGTTCTGCTCATTCACCGCTCTATTACTGTGCAACTTTTTGCTGGTTCACAAGGGGTATCAGATGTCTCTTAAAGCACCTAAAGTCTCTATATTACTATGGTAACAACACACTCCCACCTAGTAAGTGAAAATATAAATTTCCAGACAGTGTGAGTGTGTTTTTGATTTCGACTGTAGATATCCCTGTTGTTCATTCTTCGAGTCCACCTTTAGATTTCAGGGTTTAAGGTTTTGTGATTCTTCTGAATCATACTTAGTGGATGCAATTTAAAAACGTATTAGATATAAAAACTTGGGGCTATTAAATTCCTGCTATCAGAAAAATAGTGGAATCTGAAACACGTAACTAACAATGTTGCTAGCATGTTACTAACAATGTAAAGCAATGCAAACTTGAGGAAGACATACCTTGCTCCTTTTTTTCTTTAAGGAAGCTATGCAATTAGAAAAGATTTAGAAAAAAAGAAAAAACAAGGCACCGGCTGGTAGGAAATGTGGAGGAAGGGGACACAGCGCCGTGGGTAAGAGAGTAACCAGTACAACTTACTTGGAGGTAAGCTAGTAATTAGCGTTCAAAGATTGCATCATTTCCTTTGATCTGATCAGTCTCCCTTGATTGACTTATTCTAAGGAAACAATTAGAGATGCACAAACGTTTTTAGGTCACAATTTGTTTATTTCAGCATCGTTTATAGTGGCCCATATTAGAATCCACTGTGCACGGAAAAACTGAGCAATCAAATCTAACGCCCTGATGCATTTGCTCAGGACGCCCAGCAGCGGGGTCTTCCTTCTAGTCCCAGTTCTGTGGCTATGACAGCACAGCTGCCTCTGAGGCGCAGAATCCACGCACTGGACTCTTCAGGAGGGAGTGAATTAGTTTTAAAAGTTGTAGGTAATCTACCAATCAGTTACGCCTCTGACTGAGACCCAAAACCCGTATTAACCTTTTTCTCCTCAAAATATAAAGTTGCTTTATTTTAAAAGTTACTCATTTTCCTAAGAACGCTACCAACAGTTAATTTGGTTTTTACAGTTAACTGGTTTTTACTGTTCTCTCATTGTGGATTTAACAAATAAATATAGGAGTAGCATAAATACTTTAATGTATTTTCTCAGATACAGCTCTGCGAAGAACCCCAGGGGTTTCTCCATGGAATGAGGACAGAGCTCAGCCCAGGTTCCAAGCGCGCTGCTCACCTGACTCACCGAGTCCTCCCTACAGGCTGTGAAGCGGCCCTGGGGTGCCCCGTCTCCCAGGAGAAAGTGGAAGGACAGAGCTGCAGCGATTTGCCAGATAACCCAGCCCAGCCAGAACTGGAACCCAGGCACTGTGATCCAGGGCCTGAGGTCACCCCAGGGCCTGAGGATGTTATTAAAATGCCATTGTTACATACAAATACAGAACTTAAAGCTTATGTAACCTAGATTCCTATTTAAGTGCATTGGGATTTTTGTTAAATAGAAGCAGAGGAGGGCGGAAGTGAGCACTGAGGAAGGAGACACCGGGAGGTGGGGATGGGGAAGCATTCATTGCTAGGCAAAGAGGGGCGGGGGGCGCTGCTAAAGAAAAACGCTCTGGCCAGGAGCCCAGTTGTGGGTTTGTCCCTGAGGCAAGGACAGCAGCCCTGAAGAAGGAAGTGTGGGCCAGGATTGAAAGGCCAGGGCCACGTGTTAGAGCCCCTCTGTGTTTTAGGCCTGTGGTCTATCTTGTCTTTTTCTTTCTCCTGTGAGAAATGAAGACGGACAGATGGAAGCGGCGGGTGACGTGATTGGCTACGGTCTTTCCGAGCACCGTAGCTGGCACTGGCGCCAAAGGTGGATCACGGACAAGGAGACGTCGGGCTCCAGAGGGGAGAGCCAGGCGCCCAAGAGAGCCAAGTAGCTGTGGGCAGTGGGCTGGAGAGGGAGGCACAGGTTGTGTCATTTCATAGCGAGGTGCAGGCTTTGATCAGCAGTAAGCTGCAAGCGATTAAAAGACAGGTGAAGGCACCGAGAGAGGTGACCAAGGAAAGTAGGTGATGCACATGTGCATTTTAGAGGCCCCACAAGGACACCACCGTCTTCCACCCCGAGTCCCAGCACAGCAAACAATAATAAAAGGAAGAAAAGGAAAAGACTGATTTGTTAAGGTCAGAAGAACTCACTTTACATAGAGGCAACTCTGTAATTTTTTTTTTTTTCAAACCTAGAAAAGGTTTTTTGAATATAGAGCCGATTCTGATTTAGAAATTCGAATACCATAAAAAACCCATAAATAGATATTCTGGAGAATAATTTAACAATCAGGTCAAGTATTCAGTCGATAGTAAATGTACCTTTGTCCTGTCTGAGCTGCATTTTAATTCTTAGGATGGGAAGTTGTTAAAATAATTTCCAAAGGCTGATTAAATTACTAATACATGTACAGTGAAATTAAATAATCAAAGTCTTTAAAAGTCACCAAAAAAAAAAAAAAAAAACCAAAAAAACAAAAACTAAGACATACTTACCCTGAAAGTCACAGAAAGTAAAGCCTAAACACTCCTCTGGTGAAATCTTAGGATGGACACTTAGAGAACCAGGGAACACACCCACTGATCCTGGGGGCAGGACACGATCGCCCCAAAAGCTGTGTGACCTCCAGGAGAGTGGGCCAAGTTCCAGCCCAATGAGACCCAAACCAGGAAGCTCTGTGTCTCCTCCTCCCAAGGGACACCAGGGAAAGCTGGAATTGTCATTTACTGAGAGCCTGCTCTGAATGCTTCCCTCGTCCTCTGAAAAAACCCACAGCTAAGTTTCTGGAGGAAAATCTTTAATGGAAACAAAGATATTGAAACAATGAAAAGAAGGCTAGCTCAGGAAAATGATAGCACACACCTGAAGGATCTCCCAAATCAAGGAAAGTTCCAGCACTCAGAAGGCTGAGGCAGGAGGATCACTGGGAGGTGAGGCCACCCTAGGCTACAGAGTGAGTTCAAGACCAGCCTAAACTACATAGCAACACACTGTCTCAAAAAACAAAACAAAACAAAATGAAACAAAAAAACCTAAAACACTAAACTCTCCATGCACGGAACAACCAGAACACAGTTTCACAACTGCATGGTTAGGTGCTGGGAGGTATGACCTCCCGAAATGCCACCGTGATGCCCAGATGGGAGCACTTGGTAGGAGAGGAGCAGTGACTCTCAGGCTGTCTTGGTGAAGGGCCACTTCTGCTTTATTTTGCCTGACTGCATTAACCGCAGTTCTATCGCCCTGGGTATAACACAGCCCATGGTAGTCAAAGCTGATCAGGTGGGTTCCCGGCACCTCGAGGGGCCGGTCCCCGGCAGCCAGGCGGATTTACCCATCACACGCTTACTCTCAGTATCTGTCCCCATCTTCTCCCTGACTTGCGACAACAAACAGGTTCTGACTGACTTTTGAACTAGTGCTTAGCATGCGGAGGCCCTGGGTTGAATCCCCAGCAGCGAAACAAAAAGAAATAAATCCAGCAGTCCCCAGGCTGCTCTCAAAGCTGGTCCTGAGGCCACCCCAAAGGGCAGCAAGTCTGATACCCGAGGGGCACCCTAGAGCACAGGGGACAGAAATGGACCAAGGAGCCGGGATCAGCCCTGCACACACTGGGGGGGGGGGGTGGTGTCATTTTTTTTTTTTAAATCACATCTTGGCATAAATCAGTAGCATTTGGGCAGAGGATAAAAGACACAGCATGAGCATCCACCCCTTACAACGTGAGGGACACAATGCCTGAGCGAGCCCCCAAACTGCAAAAAGAAGAGGACTACGGAAGCGCACGGAAGATTTGGGCTCGGCCAAATCTTTGCTGGTGGTACCCGATGGGCAGGGCTCGCCCGCAGCACCGGGGTTCCCAGCCTGGCCTCCCGTCACTTCCTGTGCCACACACCTGCTTCGCCTCTTTCCTTCTGGCTGGGAGCGACAGTAGCACTGGGGTCAGGGCGGCAGCAAGCGCCATATGAGCAGCATGTAGGAATCCCTAAACACAGCCTCTGGCACACGGGACCTGGCACATAGGGTTTTTTATTTTTTTTCCTCCCAGCCCTTTCTGTGTTTTTTATTTTGAGACAGGTTATCACTAAGTAACTTAGTTGGCCAGATTAGGCTCAAAGTTGCAATCCTGCTGTCTCAGCCTCCCAGAGTGCTGGGATTTCAGGGGTGCAGTACCACTCCTGACCCAGTTCTGGGGTTACTTTACTATTTGTTTTTTGAGGCTTTTCTCCTCTGGCAGGTTCAACCTCAGAACCAAGATTAGAGGCATTGGAGAAGTCTTTGTTGCAGACTCTTGGACACCCCGGATGAGCTCCTGATTCAGAAGCCCCCATTCTCAGAAGAGAGAACAGGAATCCCCCCAACTCTCACTGCTCGCCCTTCCCAGTTCTCCGCTCCTCATCCTTCAAATCCCGGCATCCCCAACACACACATGCACACGCATGTGCACGCACGCACACGCACGCTCACGGGCGAGATGCATCACTGCAAATTGCACCCACATGCACAAGAGAGAAAGTCTCTTGCTGCGGCCTAACCCAAAGGGAGACACTGCTGTGACCTAGTAAGGAGGCAGCGGATAGAAGCCCTGGGCCGCCACCAGCAGGCAGGCGGGTCCCAGATACCATCGATGCCTCGGGGGCACTTGCAGCATGTGACTTGGGTCCTGTGGCCACCACTGATTGCATCTTATCGGACAGGAAGGAGCAGAAAGAGAGGAGGCCGGAGAGGGGTCATCAGTTGGGCGGTGCCTGATGGGATCCCTGTCACCAGAGAGGGACAAACATGAGGCCTCTTAAGGCGGACCCACTGCCAATCTGGTTCTGGTTCTGCGGGTCACAAGAAAGGGAAGGATGTAACTGGCTACGGAACTAGCAGAGCAGTTTCCCTCTATCCCCGCAGCCGCAGGGCCTACAGCCTCACACTTTCCCAGCCTCTTAGAACCTTTGCTTAGCGCGAACATGAAAATCACAATTCAACTGAATCTTATGCAAATCCTGTTTTTGTGTTTGCAGTGCTGGAGATGAACCCCGGCCCTCGTGCATGCTGGACAAGTGCTCTGCCACTGAACTACACTTCCTACCGCCTGGGGAGGGCGGGCACTGCGTTCACCCTGCTCCGCTCCCCCCGCCCCTCCCCACCCTTCCCCCACCCAGCCCAGGCCGCCTGGGAGCACTCGTGGGCATGCGCAGAACAGCAGCCGAACTCCAGGGCAACCTGATTGATTTATATATTCTTGCTGGCTGTCCACAATGCACCTCACTTTTTCCTCGTTTAAACACAGACTAGGAAACAGTCATACGCCCTTTAGAGTAACGTTATGAAGACTCTGTGAGCAGAAAATCAAGAAGCTCTGGGGAAAGTAGGTTGAGCAAGAATTTGAGCCATGCGGTAACAGAAAGAGCAGAGCCCTGGGGACACGTCGGAAGGTCACAGGAATTAAGAAATGTCAGCGAGGGGAATCCCAGGAATACCAGCTCTAGTTCCTTGTTAGCAAGTACTGGAGGTAGAGACAGTAAGATGAGAAGTGGGGACATATTCGGTGATAGGTACTTTTTTCTTTTCTTCTCCTCTTGGTAAAAGAAGTATGTCTGAGGGGTTTTGTTGTTGTTTTTGGTTTTTTGAGACAAGGTCTCACTATGCAGTTCTGGCTGGTCTCAAACTCGCAGTGATCCTCCCGCCTCAGCCTCCTGAGTGCTGGGATAAAAGGCGTATGCTACCATGTGCAGCAAGGACACGTTTTTATAAATCAGTTTCCACTACTCAGGAAAAGTTGTTGACCAAGAGCAGGTTATGTCTGTTCAGCCCCTGCCCAAGCACCATATTGGGTGTAAGGAACGCACAGCAGTCCAGCCCACACGGTCCTGATCACAAGCGCTCAGGTTCCAGCTGGGATGGTGGGGCGAGAGAATCAGAAGAAAAGACACTTCCGGCTGTGATGGGCTCTCTGGATGCCACGCACAGGAGAACAAGCGGAGGCGGCGCCCAAGCCCCCTCTCAGAGAATGAGAAGATGATTAGGGCAGAAAACATGGAACGGTGCGCAGAGCAGGGGAACAGGAGAGGGTGGGGTGCCCTAGGACTGTGACAGCCCTGGTGGCCAGCACCACACAGGGGACAGTGGCTTGAGATGGCCACCTCGCTGGGGCGTGTCCTATACCTACCCTCCCTCACTGTTACTTGAACAAAATAAGCACACACGTGCCTCAGGCCCTTCGCAGAGACTCCAGCATGCTTTCCCTATATCTTCTCCTTGCACACTTGCACGTGGCTGTCTGCTCAGTATCACTGTATCAGTGACAAGCCGTGGAAAACAGCTCTTTAGTACCCTCTGGCCTTTAACTTCCCTGTATTTTTAAATCATTTTTCTACTTATCATCTTTGGTTTTGGTTTTTTTTTCCTGGTACTGGGGATTGAACCCAGG